ATATTACTGCAAATAAAAAAAATATTGTTTTTAGTTTCGTTATAACTTTCCGAGAAATTAAAAATTTTAATGTTTAACATACACTAATAAATACATGTAAAAAAAAAGTTTAACACTGTGTTGCATGAAGAAAAGTAAATCGGTCCGACGCAAAAATATTAAATGTCGTTCGTTGATAAAAATATGTTAATTTATTCCGCAGTATATCTTAATAGTTATGAGATATTCGCTGATTTACAAGGTCTAGTTCTTGTCTCTTCTACTTATTACTTTTGTAATAGCAGATTATAATAATTTTTACTTATTCCTTTACCTAATAGGTTGAATTCCTAACACACGAGCTGTTTCTTAAAGGTGAAATTCATAACACATGGGGACTCTTTCTTAAAGGTGAAATTCACACATACACAAACTAAAAACCAAGGTTTTCAATTCAATTCAATCAATTTCGTATAAATACAAATAGAAAATTAAAAAATATATTACCAACAATGTAGGGAAGTTTAATTTTATAAGTCTTGAATAAAAAATATATTTATAACTTAAGAGAGTGCCATTTTCCTATAATCGTACATCGTTACCATGAAACCAAGAGTTACTTATGCGTTGCTGGTATAGTATGTGGTGGCCAAAATTGAATAGAGTACGACACAAGATATCAAGTTATAAAAAGTGTACTAGGGGAGATTTCAGAAAGTATGACATATTTCTTATAAACTGAAAATTATCTTTCGTTAGACATTAGACTTTCTAATGAAGTAATATCTGATGAATTCGTTCTATCGTTTCTTATGTTCTCATTCGTTCATGTTGTGCAATAAATTTCTTAATAATTATTGCAACATTTGCAAAACGGTATATGATTTCACTCTTAATTTGATTTGTTCTGCTCAACACGGTTGTGTTCAGAATTTTTATGTATCCCCCATACTACTGTGTCCAAAAAGTAAGACCAGTTTTTATTTATTTCAAAAAATATTTATTTATTCTTTCAAATCTATTTCGTCGCCTTCAAAGTAATCCCCTCTCGACACAATACACTTATGCCAACATATTTTCCAGTCCTCGAAACAAGAATTAAAGTCGCCTTCCGGGATGGCTTTCAGAGCGCATAGCGATTCACGTTGTATCTCTTCTATCGTCTCAAAACGATTTCCCCGCAGTGGTTTTTTGAGTTTCGGGAATAGCCAGAAGTCACACGGTGCTAAATCAGGCGAATACGGAGGTTGTGGAACGATATGGATCGAATTTTTGGCGAAAAAGTCACGAAGAACGAGTGCAGTGTGAGAAGGTGCATTATTTTAGTCGAGATTTTACACGTTTCAGGCCCAAAATATCTTTCAAAATGGTATTGGCAGATCCTTTCGAAATAGCAACAGCATCAGCAAGGTCTCACAGTCATTCGACGATTAGCAAGCACAAGTTCTTCGATTTTCTTGACGTGTTGTTCATCGGTAGAGGTTGATGGTCGTCCGGAACGCTCTTCGTCTTCAACACTTTCACGACCTTCTTTGAACTGTTTATACCACTTGTAAACATTCCTTTCCGACAAAGCATGGTCCCCGAAGGCTTTCTGCAACATCCTAAATGTTTCTGCACCCGAAATTTTATTCCGCAAATAAAATTTAATGCAACTTCTTTGCTCAATATAATTAGACATTGTAAAAATCGCCGAATGCACTTTTAGCGTCGTACAAAACCAAGCGTAAAGCAAAAAGTAATGAATGTTTTGACATGAAATTTGTCACAGATGTCTGTCACAATGCTGCCAACTTAGAAAAAAAAAATTTATGATGTGCGATTTAAATTGAAAACTGGTCTTACTTTTTGGACACAGTAGTATATGTAGTTATACTTTCTATGGCATGCTATTTTACTTTTTAAGGGGGGAGATTACTATAGAACGTCAAAAATAAGGGAATTTTCGTGAATTTTTTTTAAAGAATGTACTTATCCAATCGCTTCCCAACTTTGTAGCGTTTTTGCTTATACATTAAAAAAATATTTTTAAGTTAAGAAAAATGTTTATACACTGTATGTAGTGAAAGAAATGTTAAACGGCAAAATCGGCACAAAACAGTGTGCACTCTGGCTCCTATTGTATTCATCTGAAACCAAAGTAGGGAATAATTTTTTATTCTTTATGGACATAATTTGTCATTGAACCTAAACAAGTTGAAAAGAAATTTTGTAATTGACAAAGAAGCAGCCCTTGATTCAAAAGTTCGATTTTTACTCATAAAAATTCATCTTTATGTATGCGAAAAAATTGTTTAAATAAATAATGTTATGAATTTTATAGGTTTATCGACTAGCAAATATAATAAATTAAATATATGTAAAAGGGCAACTCGATTGGTCAAATAGTTTTTGAATTATCTTGCACATTAGTTTGGAAGAAGTCGTTTCGAGAAAAACGGATTTAAAGTTTCAGGTATAGAAAATTATAAACTTACAGCTGTTTGCTGCTAATCCACTATTCTTGCCCCATATAGTAAAGCTTCCGCTTCTTCAAACAAGTCATTTTGCTCAAGTTGGTGTTGTTTACTTGCTATTCGAGTCTCTTTACCGCAACTTAGGCTGCGGCGCTTCTGTCTCTTTATTCGCTCGGCGTCCTTACTATCAACACATAACTTACATATATAGAGGCTCAATTTTAATTTCTAATATTTCCATTATCTTCAAAACAGCAAAGTAGTCTTTATTAAATATCCCAGCGGCAATATAGGCGGTGATTTCGGTGATTTTGTAGATCAGAATGTACATGCTTTGGAGCTAATCGCTAAATCGTATTATTAAAAATTTTATTCGCATTTTTTGTGTGCCCAACTAAGCATCTTTCTAATAGATCTTTCTTAGAATGGTTTTTTCCATTTTTTCAAACGGATTTTTCGAAACAAAGCCGTTACGAGTCATTGTGCGCTCAGATCTTGCCTCATGCGTACCTGCGTGCGAGAAATGGTTCTGTACGATTTATTTAGATTTTGAATTTCAAAACCGAACTTTAGGAATATATTCTATACATATAGTACTATTAATTAAAGCAAAAAAAATTCGATTTTTGTGACCCTCAGTAGTATAACATAATAAATAATAATGATTTCCCCTCAATAGTATAACATAATAAATTACGAGAAATGAAAATGATGACAACAGGAAAACTGTAAAAGAGTCAAAATGACTATTATTGCACTCTAATGTTAAAGTAACTGTAAAAATTTCTAAGTAATAATGCACAGAGAGAGAGAGAGAGAGAGAGAGAGAGAGAGAGAGAGAGAGAGAGAGAGAGAGAAAGAGAAATTAATTGAGAAACTTTTGCTAAAAATGTATTGACTTTATGCTCCGTTGTTAAAGAACTGCGAATCCACGAGTAAAATTTAATGGCAAAAATTAAAAATTCAAAGAAAATTTTAATAAATGTTTTCCACCGTCTATCAATTGTATTGTTTTTCAGACCAATATATTCTCACAAAATAATTTCTAAATTTCTCGTTGAAATTGTGATGTATACAGGATATCCCTGAGAATTGCTGAGAAAAAAATTAATGGACGTATTCTACAGATCAAAATAAGAAAATTTTTTCATATCAACATGTGTCCAGAAATGCACTCTTCTGAATTAGAGCCCCCTAAAGTTGTCAGAAAAAACTTGAATTTTCTGTTCACTGTCTAAACTTCAATTTCAAATTCTATGAAAATTGGTATATTAATGTATTAAAATAGTACGTGAATTAATCGCGACAAATTGATTGAATATTGATTATTAGAAGATTCATTAATCGAAGAGTTACTGATGGTATCATTTTGGCACGCGAAGCTCACGCGTACTGTTGAAGAACTTTTTGGAGTTTGCTCTTGATAATCACGATTTAGTCATCGTGAGATTGGCACGCGCTATCATGATCATTGACCAAAGGTTAAAGTCAAGTTAACTATGGGATGGCTATGAAGTCTTCCGGAGATTACGTTTTTATGATATGCTCTCTTTTTCCTTCTCTCTCCTTTCTGTTTCGCCACCTCCGTCTTTTCCTCTTCTAACCTCTCTCTCTCTCTCTCCCTCTCCCTCTCTTTCTCTCCCTCTCTCTCTCTCCCTCTCTCTCTCTCGTGAATGTTGAAGTTATTTTGATAACGTACATCAGTATTGAGTACGTGCATGCGTGTATGCCGTCGCGTGAGTCTGTTTTCATATCTTGAACAAAACATTTTTGTATTACACAACGTATCACGAAATAGTTTTTTTTTATTCCATTCCTTCGCAGATTGCAATCGCGGATTCTAAAATAATAAAATTATACGAATTTGTGCGCGTGTCGCAAACGAAACTTGTTTTTAAAAGTATATAAAATAAGATTTTAATGAATCGATAGTTCTCTTTTAACAATTTTCTATTTCTGTTGTCTATTTCAACAGTTCTATTGTACGTGTATATTGTATTGTATGACGTGATAAGACTTGATATTAAGATTAAACAATGTTCTATGAAGGAACAAATAGATATATTTATGATAAAATATACACTGATATTATTATTTACATATGTATTAAAATATACATTGATGTATTATTTTTGCACATGATAAGATAGTGATATTATTCAATAAAGTTTGCATTAATATCAATATCTTAAAACGCTATCGTAATTAAAATCAAACATATCAACGTCTAATTATTCGAATACTTAAGCCCATTCAGTTACTTCTGATAGAACATATTTATCTGTAAAAATTTTAGTTCCCCTTCTTACTTTTATAAAAGAATATAGATTGGCGCAGTTATAAAATAATAACGTAAATTTTTTTATTACTTTACATAGAATTGAAGGGTGGAAACGTTGAGAAGGACAAATGGGGAAGTTCTATTGTTGCTTATACTATTGTATGATATCAATGTTCATAGAAATAGATTTGTAATCTCTTTACCGTGTAGACCAAGACGATCGAAGACGCGAGAATAACGGAATAATTTGTACTTTACGAGCGGTCACGTTTATCGTGTTGCAGTACGGCAGGCAAAACATAGAAAATGTGAGGAAGAAGAACGGTACTTGGGACTTGAATAAGGATTTTAACGTAGAGGAGGAATGCGAATCACCGACGATTCTCCTAAAAAATTCAATGGTAACGTCATCCAAGATGCAAAATGGATCTGTGGGCAATACTGTAATAGCTAGGTCGAAGGACCTAATTTTAGTGCCCGAACCAGAAGCACAAAATCACAAGAATCACATTGACGAATCGAAACTCGAAAACAATTGTGAGATGTCAACGATCAACAATGACGAGGTAAGATTTATAGAATAGAAAACATAGAATGAAATATCATTCTGTAGGATTCGATATTCGACAAACTATTTATGTCTTTTTTTTATTTGTTGCTATTTCAGGATAGCTTTAATCAAAAAAATTCCTTCGTGGTACTTAAAACTGGATTTGAACCAGCGAGCTGCTTGGATTATATCAGAGCTGGCGTGGAAGCTATCATAGAAGACGAAGTGACATCGCGTTTCGAAGCGGAAGAACTTAAGGTAATAACTAATATATGATGAAATCAGTCAATTAAAACTCCAGGTGTTAGTGCATAATTTTAATTAAAGAAGATCTTTTAGAAAGATAAAGTGAAGATGAGAATACGCGATTTTTATTGCCCGAATTTTCTTGGACATACACACTATCTCTTCTAAAAAATGTACCGAAATTTAAAAAATACAAAATTTCTGAAAATCATAATACCGAAATTCGAATACCGAGACTATTTTTAAGTACAATTTTACCGAAATATTGAAATTGTCTTATTGCATAACAGATGCATTACACTAAGAAAAAAATATCTAAAAATTTATTTGTGGAATATAAAATTTATTTCTATGGATAGTTTTATATCCCACAAATAAATTTTTAAATATTTGTTTTTACTATAGTATTTACTTATTTGAATACAGCAAGAGTGTACCCAAATAGGTAGGAATTAATATATCTGTGTACAGTTATTCGTAAAACGGCTTATATATAGTAAAATTGGAGTCTAACCAAACTGTTAAAATTGAGTTGTTATCGACGAGCTTGTGCAGTAATTATATTATTAATTATTATTATTTAATATTTATTGTATTGTTAATTACTACCACATAAACCGATTATATTATTAATATATATTATTAATATATAAGTATTATTAATATATAAGTAATATTATTACTATATAAGTTAGTTTTTAGTGTAACAGTTTTTCCTCGTAACAATTGCAAAAGCGTTAATTGTACAAGCAAACAATTGTATAATTTTTTAAGGAAAAAATTATATTTTAGGATATTGTCTCGGTATTCAAATTTCGGTATTATGACTTTTCAGAGAAATTGTCTAAATTTTGAAATTTTAATTTTTAAAATTCACTATCCTTTTTGTCTTCCATCCTCCTCATTTCTGTTTTTTTTTTTTTTTTTTATATCCATTCTTAATTAAAATTCTACATTTGAAAATCAAATACATTTGCCTCGATTTTATCCTCCATTTGTATAATAATTATTAATTAATACATGATCAACATATGAATTAATAAACATAAATAATTATAACCATATTTCGATGTATATGAAATTATTTATTGATGTGTAAATAATAATTTATCGATATATTTTTTACGTAGAATTGGAATCTGCTAACGCGAACGAACAGATACTATGAGTTTATTTCCTGGAAGTTAACTATCATATGGATGTTCGGATTTGTCACGCGTTACTGCTTTCTTCTGCCTTTAAGAGTATCCATCTGTTTCTTTGGGGTAAGTGTAACTATTCCACGCACATTATGTTATAACTAGCATATTATAAGTAGTAAAGGATACAATAAAAGGTTTTAAAATGTGAAAAAATCGTTACAACGAATAATTTTTCACGTTGGAATCCTGTTACATATTTATCTAGCAGTGCAATAATACATGTAAAAATTAATTCCTTTAGTTGATCTCAACCTAAAATCGTGAATATTAATTTTCTATGAAAATTTCCCAGCGTTCTTATATCATAGACATTTTATATTTCGTGGCATAATAACGCGTGTATATTTAACGGAAAAATTTGAGATAGTATATCCACTAATATTGAAGCTTCTTAGGTACTGTATCTTCTAATCGTAACATTTTTAATCGGCTTCCTACCAAATGGCCGCGTAAAACACTGGGTGAACAACCAGGCCACCCTTATCGGATTCAGGATATTGTCTCGTTCTATATCTAGTTCGATCACAGTCTACAATGCGGAATATAAACCAAAGAACGGAGGCATATGTGTGGCAAATCACACATCCACTGTCGACATCTGCATTTTATCCACAGAGACGACATTCTCTTTGGTAATATATCATGATTGGAGCAAACCGAAAAATCAAGTGTTCTATTGTATGGTAATTGTGTTTAAATTTGCGTCGTCTCGAGTGTATCTTACATCTGTCAATTTAATTATCTTCGTCATTGGTGTTTTGGTATTAGTATACATTTTGGTGTTGGTATACAGAAACTACGTGATAATTTGTAGAACCACGTAGCGCTACAATTTATATCAACCAAACCGCGCTATACACGCGGCCACACGCTACATTTTAACGAACGCTAACGAATAGAAGTAATACAATTAACAATCGTTATCGTTATTATACTTTTGTATCCGTCGCGTAACAGAGCAGCGTAACTTTGAAATCTGTTTTGTCCCCGTGAAGTTCACGACCGAGGTCAGATGTCTGTTTCTAGTATTACAAAAGTTGTTGCATTACTGGTAAATGTTACAGGTAACGTGTCCTGTAACTTTGGTTTACAGGTAGTATCTACTCAGCAACGATAGAGAGGGAATCCACGTTTCTCAGGTGCAAAGCTTGTGGTTTACAGGTGATGTGGCTGACAGTGTGTACTGCAGTAGTGGGCTACGTTCCCGAGGGTAGCTTCAAGCGGTGGCTGAACTACAAAGTCTCCATAGTGTGCTTTACTTTCTTATCCAGTGCTCTGTCTTCAGTTATCACCTATCACAATCCAGAGAATCGACCTGTCGGGGGCATATGTGTAGCTAATCACACATCTCCTATTGATGTACTCGTACTCATGTGTGACAATTGTTATTCTTTGGTACGTTTGTAACGCTATTAGACGCTATTAGATACTGGATTTGTACAATTGTTTTTTTTTTGTCAGGATGTTGCCTCGGTATCCGAGTTTTGATATTATGACTTTTCAGAGAAATTGTATCTAAATTTTAAGATTTTAATTTTTAAAGTTTACCATTCTTTTCGGCTTTTCATCGCTCTCATTTCTGTCGTCTTTCCATTTCTTTATATCCCATTTTATTTTTATAATCAAATTTTCCTTTTCTGTTACATACTCAAAAACATCTTGTTAACGATGTTATTCTATAATTATGAAAACACGCTTTTAACATTTTATATTTTTGTTGCTTTTATTGTTGTCTTACATGTGTCATAGCATATAAAACATTCCAGAAATCATACACTTTCCGAGAACAAATTGGTCACTTAATGTTTTCTTTATTTTAATCGTTAAAGAAAAGAACAAAATTTGTGGTTCCTTTTTACTAATCAATTTAAATTATACATACGTTAATATTACATACGTTAATTATATTATACATACGTTAATTTGTTACTGTATCTAATGTGATTTTCTCTATCTATACTTTAAAGAAAGATGCATGATTTCTGAGAACTGTTTCACATTTTCAATTCACGTTCATTATTTTATTTGTGCTTTCTTCTACTTTACTACAGATAGGTCAGAGGCACGGTGGTTTCTTGGGAATATTACAAAGAGCTCTTGCTCGTGCCTCTCCGCATATTTGGTTTGAGCGTTCCGAGGTTAAAGATAGAGAAGCAGTGGCGAAAAGGTGCGGTTATTTAAACACAATTGCATTTATCTTATACAAACTGTCCGACAATTATTGACACACCTGTTGTGCAAGTAGAACTCATCAAACTGAACACAAAATTTCACGACCATTTTATAAACAACTATGTAAAATTTTAACTTATTAACTAAACAAAATTTGTGAGTGATCATGCGCGATACGGTAGATGAACTATGGGCGATTTTTTTAATTCATCGATGAATCCATCGCATGATACGTAAATGCAGCGAAACGCTGCATTTGCGCATCATGCGATGGATCCGTCGATGAATTAAAAAACTCGATCTATAAATAATGACGATGTTTGCCGTCGTGTGCTTTTGTGTATATTAGGTTAAACTGAACAATGAAAGTCCTCTACTATTTTACAAATGATCACGTAGATCGTGTAGTTATTAATTAAGGAAGATTGATGCATTATCGCGTACATCATGATTTACATGTATCGCGTGTGATCATACGCTAATCTTCTTTAAACCTTTAAGTCATAGTATATCATATATGATACATCTTTTTTAAAGAAGTTTTTACGAATTTAAACTAATTTGTAGAGACTTCGAGGTGGTAAATATGGATTTATTGTGAAGCTTAGATGTTCCTCTAATAGAATCATCTGCATAGAACATTAAATTTTGCAAATTTTATTATTCATAAACAAATTAATGTAAAAAAATGGTATTTTTTGGAAAAAATTCATTTGTCAAAAATATTGTAAAGAAAACCCATGGAAAAAATGGCTTGGTTGATGCTTTTTAAGCTATAGATGATGACACAATCTCAAAAATTTCAAAATTCAAGATAGCGAACTCAGTATGGTGAGCTAAAATACCAACAATCAAAATAAGTTATATTTCTTTCCGTAAATGAGTGAAGTTGAGTCTGTGAATAACTTGAATTTCAAAAAAGTAATTTTGTATTTGTGATCAGCAACGTCAAAAACTCGAATACCAATTTTTTGGAAATCGAGGAAATTTTAAAATTGTCTTCCGCCATATTGGATTCGTCATCTTGAATTTTCAAAAACTGACTACAAATTTGTAATTAGCGATCCCAAAAAATTCCCAGATTGAACAAAGGAACAGGTTATCCAGAAAAATTCGTCACTTAAAGAGTTAATTAATAATTCCACATTTTACCACTTTCCAAAATCTCTAAATTTATTGGTTTGTGAAATCATAGAGGAATTTGTATTCAATTTGATGAATTTTACCTGTATGTATCAGGACCTTGAATAAGTTCTCGTTGTTTTCCAACAGATGGCGTTACCAGAACTGCATACGTGTAGTTTAAAATGGTAACGCATTTATAAGGAAGTACTATAAGCAAGCTTGAAATTCAGTGTATGTCATTTCGTCGAAGTGTAAACAACTTTTTTTTTCATAGTGTTAAACATGTCGAGTTTCGTGCCAAAAAAAAGAGTATTTGCGGGAAATTTTACTGCACTATTTTATTAAAAAAAAATCTGCAGCTAAAGCACATAGAATTCTTGTTGAGACTTACGGCGATCATGCTCTGTCGGAAACAACATGCAGAGATTGGTTTAGACGCTTCAAAAATAATGATTTTGATATTGAAGATAAAGAATTCTCTGGTGCACCGAAAAAGTTTGAAGACGAAGAAATTGGAGGCATTACTTCATGAAGACTCATGTCAGACGCTAGCTGAACTTGCAGAATTATTAGGAGTTGATCACAACAGTTTCGAAACGTTTGAAAGTATTAGAAATGATTCAAAAGCAAAGACATTGGGTGCCGTACGAGTTGAAGCCGAGACGTCGAACGGCGTCTTTTCACGTGTGAACAGCTACTTCAACGGCAGAAAAGGAAAGGTTTTTGCATCGTATCGTGACTGGCGATGAAAAGTGGATACACTACGATAACCCTAAGCGAATATCATGGTTCGAAACTTCTGCTCTGCATTTAGTAGGATCAGCTGGTGTAGTTTATTATGAGCTGCTCAAACCGAACGAAACCATCACGGGAGATCGCTATCGACTACAATTGATGCGTTTGAGCCAAACATTAAAGAAAAAATGGCCGCTATATGAGCAGAGACACGACAAAGTGATTTTGTAACATAACAACGCTCGGCCACATGTTGCACAACCTGTGAAAATCTACTTGGAAACGTTTAAATGGGAAGTCCTACCCCACCCGCCGTATTCATCAGACATTGCCCCTTCCGATTATCACTTGTTCCGATCAATGGCACATGGCCTGGCTGAGCAGCACTTCCATTCTTATAAAGATGCCAAAAAATGAGTCGACTCTTAGATAATCTCAAAAGACATGACGTTTTTCCGACGTGGAATTCAAATGCTGCCAGAAAAATGGGAAAAAGTAGTGGCTAGCGATGGACAATACTTTCAGTGACGTTTTTTATTTTTTTTTAAATAAAGCATTAATTTTCACGAAAAATCAGCGAAAACTTATTCAAGGTCCTAATATATAAAAGATGTATTAATAATTATCATATATCCTGTATATCATATTACGATGCACAAAATATAGTTCTTAACGTTTACTATATTTTGATATAGATTAAAGAAACACGTGTCAGATCCGGCGAACCCACCGATACTCATATTTCCGGAGGGTACATGTATCAACAATACCTCGGTTATGCAATTCAAAAAAGGCAGTTTCGAAGTGGACAGCGTTATTTATCCTGTAGCGATTAAGGTAATTTTTCCTTTACCAAAAAAGATTTACCTGTCTTAAACATTAATGTTTTTTTTAAAGCTCTTTTTAAAACTTTGGGGAATAAGGGTCTATAGAATCACTAACACGAATGACGTAGTTATTATAAAACTAGCTATAAGACAGCTAATATCTATCCTCGCTTATGTAGAGGTAAACAAATTTTTTTATTTATTCAAATAACCAAACGCGTTTCAGTCCTTCAATGGACCCTTTTCAGTGGTAACATTGTAAAAAAAACCTCGATTACGTATACAACGAGAAACAGTCGTCTAATGAACGATGGTAGCAACTCAACGCAACTCAGGAACGCAAGTCAACAATCAAATCCAAAGCAAATCGCATCAAACGCCATACATAAAAAAAGATGTCAAAAATAATAAAAAAATATTCAATTATCGCAAACAGAATTAGTCAAATCTTATAAATTACGTCAAACTGTTACGTTTCAGAGGACGCAGCAAGTCAGTCTAGACCCTTGTCTAGATTATTGTCCTTACAATGCGTAACAACGAAATGCGAGGCTTTACCAACAAGCTCAAGTATACAATGTAACGAAAGTCAGGAACAGCAATTTTAAAATCCATAAACATAAAGAAACATAAACAGATATAAGTCAAGAATTTAAAAGCAGTAAATAACATTCAGCAAAACAGTATCATTTTGGGCGTTAATTCCGTGTTTCTGTTTCTTAATAAAAATCATGTCCGCAATTAATCGTTTATAACAGTTCTGTTCCTTATGTAAGACTTTCACGTTGTCCCAAACAAAATTGTGTCCATTGAGCAAACGGTGTTCCTGAATTACTGTAAGGTCCGCAGACGGGTCTCTAGGGATTTTCATATGCTCTCCAACCCTTGTATATAATTTCCTACCAGTTTGTCTTACATACGTCACATCGTAATTATTGCATTGTAAACAACGTTGCTATTCTTGTCATAGGGAAGTGAGTCTTTATGGGCCTTAACCAGATCTGTAAGTTTGTTAGCACAAGCAAAGGTGATTTGCATTTCGTTGTTACGCATTGTCTTTGTCTAGACTGATAATCGGTATAATCGTCGACATATTTCATCTAAATTTGGTACTTAGCCGTTGCATATATTAAAGTAATATTCATTGACACAACCTTTTTAATATACAATTCACTATTTTTTTAACATCTTCTCACTTTTTATTATTGCAGATTATTGGACTTATGGTTTCTTATTTTTTTAACTCTTGCTGCGTCCTCTGAAACGTAACGGTTCGGCGTAATTTTTAAGATTTGACTAATTCTGTTTGCGACAATTGAATATTTTTTTATTATTTTTGACATCTTTTTTATGTATGGCGTTTGATGCGATTTGCTTTGGATTTGATTGTTGACTTACATTGCTACCATCGTTCATTAGACAACTGTTTCTTGTTGTATACGTAATCGAGATTTCTTTTTTACAATGTTACCACTGAAGAGGAAGGATCAAAACGCTTTTGCTCATTTGAATAAATAAAAAAAATTTTTTACCTCTACATAAGCGAGGATAGATACTAGTTGTCTTATAGCTAGTTTTATAACACTATTTCATCCGTGTTAGTGGTTCTATATTCCTTGTGTTAGTGACTCTTACTCCCCCAAGTTTTTGATTCATCAATAAGAACCATAAAATAAAAAAAATTTTTTTCTTACTTTTTATGTGTAGTACGATCCGAGATTTGGAGACGCCTTTTGGAATAGTAACCGATACTCGATGCTACAATATTTATACATGATGATGTCAAGCTGGGCAATAGTTTGTGATGTGTGGTATCTTCCTCCAATGTATAAGAACGAAGGAGAGAGTGCCATCGATTTTGCGAATCGAGTGAAGTCTGTGATAGCGCGACAGGGTGGCCTTGTCGATCTGCAGTGGTATGTTCGATATTAGTTTTGACATATAATACGAAGATATTAAAAAAAATTATTATTAGCGCACTTTTTGGTCATATATATAAAAAAATATATAGAAAAAATGATACATAGAAAAATATATAAAAAAGTAGTATGAGTACAAAAAATGAAAGTAGTAAACAATGATAATTAGTATAATAAATGAGTAGCATGAAAAATTGAACTATAGATAAATAGGTAAATGGATAAAATAGATAAATGGATGAGCAAATAAATTAAAGTAAATCTGAGAAACACAAGTAATGACTAAATAAAATAAAATTCAAAAGATATTAACAATTGTGTTTGCCGAATAATAATTTCTTTCATCTTTTTTTTTCTATATCTCATGTTTCTTGGTAGGGATGGTCAGCTGAAGAGGATGAAGCCGAAGAAGGAATGGAGAGAAAAGCAGCAAGAAGAGTTCAGTAAACGACTGAAAGTCGAATAAATAAATTCATCGATTCTAGTCATAACTTCACAATGCACACATTGAGTGATATTGTTTGTTTAAATTAAACCATTTCATCCGTTTGGCCGTTTCTCACACATTGTTTTCGTATATTACAAGAGAAATCTGTGTCCCTCAGTCTGCATCATTTAGCATTTTACATATAGAGATTTCCTCGCAAATATAAAGACTTGCACTTCTTTGCGATATTTTTCTAAATGCAATATTCATCAGTGACGAAATATGTCTTTGTAAACCCAGTTATTTTCCATTGCTAACAGTAGTACTATTAGGACTTAAAGTATTTTTGACAGTTTGGTCCTTTATATGTGAGATCACAAGTATCTTACTGCTCTGGATTGGAATTTATATTATAAAAATTGTGCGTGATATTATTATTTAAATTACATCATTTCATTCGATTGGCCGTTTTTCACATATTGTTTTTGCACACACTGTTACAAGAGAAGTATATGTCCCTTAGTTTATATCATTATATTATAAAAATTGACAGGTATATAATAGTTCTAATGTAATATTGTGCCATGTCCTACATTTGCACGGTTCATAATGTAATTTTTAAATGTTTAACAGTATATATATTTTTTTTTTATGTGTGTGTGTATATATATATATATATATATATATATA